AGGCTGCTGCTAAGAGGGCGTCGACTCTCGAGGGGATAAGCTACGGAGATATGTTTGGGCGTCAGGATGGTCCGGGTTCATCCTCGTCAGCTCCCGGTGGTTCATCTTCGGCAGTTCCCGAGACTCAGCAGCCACCTCCTCCTCCTCCTCCTCCTCCACTTCATCCCGATTTGCAGGTGCCGCCGAATGCACCCTTTGCAGTGTACACGGTGGAGGATATTTTTGCCCTTCCAGGCAGAGAAGGGCTGGCAGAGTTAGATCCTTACCGACGGAACGGCCAAAACATTTTATGGTATGTTTTAATTTCTTAATTTTTTATTTATTTATTTCTTAATTAACAAAATATTTAGAAGTTAATCTAGCTAATGATTTATTTTGTGTCTTTCCAGGTTTGGTTGTGACAATAGTGTCGGATCTAGCGTCACAGACTGTATCAAGGGATACTTTCCCGATCCAGCTCCGAACTAGAAGAAGACGGCGAGCCACACAAAAAAGACGTGGTTCAAATCGTTCGCTGTAAGTTTAGTTTGTTAATTTATTTTTAATTATTTTAAATTATTAATATAATTGAACTAATCCGTCTTTTATTTTTCCTGCTTACAGCAAAATTATCGCTGGTCTATTGGGATTCACGAGCGAGTGAAGAAGGAGTTTGAGGCCAAGGCAAAAGCACGATTGCTCGACACGGTCTACAACTGGAAGGGCGACTATGAGGTATTGATTTATAAATTATAATATATATATAGTTTTAAAAATATTATATATTGACTTTAATTCTAATTTTTTTTTTAATCAGGTGGATGGTTACGAGGCCGGGAAACCCGATTGCCTCACAACCACGGTGTGGGATGGCCTCATCAGCTATTGGACGTTGCCGGACTCGGTCAGAACGTCCAACACAAACTCCGGGAACCGCATGACCAAGGACGAGCATGGCAACACGAAGGTGCTTCACACCACGTGTCGAAAACCTCACGGGGGAGTTCGTCTTGACATGGTAAGATGATTTTTAATATCAATTAATTTAATTTTTATTTTATTTGAATATATTCTAAATTAATATTTAATTTTATAAATTAATTTTAGGCTAAGGAGACATGAGTTCTTCCATCTCTAAAAGGCCTGTACGAGAGGACCCACCGGAACAAGGCTGGGCAGATTGTAGATCCTGCTTCAGAGAGGATCTACAACGAGCTTGTTGCCCGAGTTGACGAGCGCCAGACCCAGCTGACTCAGCAGACTGGGTCTCCAGTCATATTATCCACTGTTGACGTGGATAAGATTTACGAGGAGGTAAATAATTTGTTTTACTATTAATTTTTAATATTTTTTAAATTTTTCTTAATGTTATTAATATTTTTATTTTCAGGTCTCCCTAGGAAAAAGGGGCGTATCATCGGGATTGGCTCGGTTAACGATGTCCCTGCAGCGACATCGTCCTATCATCAGGAGCAGCACGATGTCAATGATCAGCTGCACTCGGAGTTGCAGGCGACGCAGTCTCAAGTGACTTCGCTCACCGAGAATGTAACTTCTCTCACCGATATCCTCAACATTATGGCGGTTGGAAACCCGCAAGTGCAGGAGCTGTTGCGTCAGAGACGGGAACGTGCAGGGATTCCAAGTACCCAACATCCTCCGCCATCACAGTCACAGCCGTCAACCAACTATGGAGAGGATTTGCCGAGCCAGGACGACGTTTTGTTCAGTCAGCAATTTCACGACCAGCATCCGTAGTTTCTTTTATTTTTATTTGTATATTATGAATTTAGAAACTTATTGTATATTATCTAGTTATTTATAAAATATTTTGTTTTTTTATTTTTATTTATAATTTGATTTATTTTTATTTTTAAAAAATAAATTAATTATTTGTAATTATTTTTTTAATAGGAAAAAAACATTTCCAAGCAAAATCCTCGTAAAATATTCCAAGCAATATCCTCGTAAACAGTTCTAGTAATTTCCTCGTAATGTATCACTACGACCTTACGAGGAAATGTTTATTACGAGCTTACGAGGAAAGCTTACGAGGACCTTACGAGGAAAATTTTACCACGCCTTTACGAGGAAATCTTTCCTCGTAAATTCGCTACGACCTTACGAGGAAAATGGCTTTACGATGAACGTGTTTCGAGGAAACGCGTTTCCTCATAACTTCCTAGTAAAAGGCCATTTACTAGGAACTAACGAGGAAACCCCGTCCTAGTAATGGACGAGTTTTCTTGTAGTGAACGCACCAAGTCTATGAGCATTAGATGAATCATTGCAAAGAAGCTGTGAGCTATTTTTCTTAAGCAAATCAGACTGCATATCATCCATCTTATGGCTTGGTTGCAAAACAGAGTTTAATACCTCGTGTTCTTGCAATTGAATCAGTCATGGTCCTCTCTTGAATCTCCTCTGCTGCTCTACTTGATTCCTCATCCACAGAATCACAGTCCACCATTGATTCAAGTGAATCCTTTGAATCTACTCCAGACGCTGAAACCTTTGGAGTCGAATCTATATCAAGACTCACGAGGTGGTGCTCCACTTCTTGGCAATGACCTGCCAAACACAAATCAAGAACAAATAAGTATCTCTATTCTCTATATTATGTTGAAGATAGCAATTGTTTTGGTTTCCTCAACCACAAGACCAAGACAGACGCAGGATATCCACCAGGCATTGGAGTCAAGAACTCTCTGATCATGCTTGGTGTCATTAACTTTGTCGGTATGCTCTTCACCTTCCTTGTCCCTGAACCTAAGGGAAAGTCCCTTGAAGAACTCTCCGGTGAGACCGAGGTCGAGAAATAATAGAAAGAACAAATCTGAAAAATACTTGAATCTAACAAAAAAAATACACAAATTAGAAACATACTAGTGTGAATTGTGGAGAGGAGCCAACATCTTTGAGGTTTTGAATCGTGATTCTCGTAATCTTTTGTCGCCGGCTGCGTGAGAGAGAGTGACGATGGATCTCGTCGGAGACAACAACAGATCTCGATGTAAACGACACCAAAGCTTGATGAAGACGATGACAACGGAGCTCGATCGAGACATTAAGCTTAGGAAAATTGACTCATATGAAGATACATAAACGGTTAAAGACGGATACCGTGAATCTCATGAATACGGAGACGACGAGGCTTGACGAAGAAGACGACAACGAGAAAGATGGAAGAAATCAGAAATAAATTAAAAAGGTTGGTTTAGTCATTTGGTCACTAATGGTTTAGGTATTTAAGAAAATGTCTTTCTAACAAAGATAAAATGAAAAGTGGTACAATGAATGTGGTAAAATTGAAATTTTCTCTTCATTTAAAAATAAATTAACAAAAAAATAGCATGTTAATATATGAATAGTATAATTACATCAAATTGTATTAAATTATAAAATTTCTAATATAATATTATATAAATAAAAAAATTATTATCAAACATTTATATATAATATAATATATTATATTCTATATGTAAATTACAAAACATAAAAAAAAAAAAATATTATTTATAAAATCAGCGGTTATGAGTTTACGTTGAATATAAGTTAAATCAAACATCCGCGTGGTGCGGGTGAAATTCTAGTTGAGTTTTATAATTGACACATCTTTGAAATTGCCAATAGGGAGAGGAGTGTTACGAATAAAGCTACTAAAAATAGTAAGAGCACGTAGAGGCTGGTCGATAGCAGCATGATGGCCTGCTCCTCTCACAGTTGCAAACGTAAAATTTCCTTTATATTGTTCTGTGAACCCTCCCAAGTCTCCTCCAGAAAACCACCGATGCCATACCTTCTCAACCGTTAGATTCATATTCTTGATCACTTGAATCGTACCGGTCACCGGTACCGCCAAGTCCAAGTCTCCACTGTACACCACGATTCGAATGCCCTGACCCATTATCTCGTGGAGGACAGGAACCAATGTGCGGTACCTATCCTTTTCGTTCCACTGGTCTGATATGGTATGGTTGCAAAACTGCCACCCGTCTGTTAGTGTCGTGGGATTGACATGTAACGCTTTCTGAACCGTTTCATTGTTAAGATAAGCCCTCACGTAGCTTTCACTGCATGGTTCATACACCATTACAGTGGCGTCTTTGTTGGGTTCACTAGTCAACGTCTCGTTACTGCATTTTGGAGCGAGTATGTTGTACAAGTCCACATGGTCCTTTTGAACATCTAAATTCCACAACGCATCGGAACATTGAGGTCCTGGTCATAGCCAAGTGAAACATTAGTTTTTATCCCCAAAAAAATAGCTTTTGTTAGACCATCTTCAATTTAGAAATCATTTAAGGTTCTAAAAAATAAAAATATTCATATTTCAATTGTGCAATTAGATTTAATATTTTTAAATCATTAAACTGTTAATTGTATAACACGTGGAAGAAAATTTTTTTTGAAGTGGTTCTAAAACAAGAGTTTTCACTCCTTTTTGTAATTTTATTTTATTTTTTTTAAATTTTAATAGGGGAGTTCTGATCGAAAAACCTCAACTGGAAAGAAAATCTCACATTGGAAATATCAATGGGACATGAGTGATATATAAGAGACTTTGACCAATCCAATATTAATTTATCAATTGGTTTTAAGTTCGAAGCCAAAAAAAACTTATCAATTAGAGGTGGAGATAATTTACATATATAATTTCCCAAATTTTTAGGACATACCTTCTCCGCAAGTAAGGGTGTCGTCTATGAATTTTTGTGGAATAATAGCATGAGACACCATGTATGGGTTCTCACTATCTGTCTCAACCTTGCGGTCAAGAGATGGATTACCAAGCAAAAGGCCTCGTAGGTTGATGAAGGTTTGCTTGTTACGCTGAAGGATGATCTGAGCAAGTTGGGGACCATAGTGGCCGGCGTAACTCTGACCCGCGATGTAAAACTCTTTTGTTTTATACTCTGGAAACCTTTCGAGCCAGTTCAACAAGAACATGTAGTTATCCTCTGCTGTCTTTTTGTCGTTTGAGTCAAAAATATTCTCTGGAGTATTCGCGTACGAGAATCCTACTCCTGCTGGAGATTCTAAGTACAACATGTTCGCCTCTGCACATCCATATACGTAATATATAGTATACTTGTTAACATCTAGCTTCTGATAAATATAATAAGCTTAAAATTATAATAACATGTTTTGTAAGAAAAGATAATTAAGGTACCGTTATTAAATGCATAAGGATTGAGAAAAAGACTTTTGCCGTCGCTGTGTACTCGGAAGGGTCCTTGCTCCTGCAGCCCCCCTCCTCCTAGAGATGAGCATCCCGGTCCTATAAATTTGGTTTTATTTTTAGCTTTGAATGTATATGAGTTTTTTACCCAAAAAACTAGTTTTAGGTAAAGATCATATATCATTTTATTGCTAATTAACTTAATTCTCAGTGATTAGGGGAAAGTACATGTCTAAAAGATCATCTGCATGGGACTGCATGAAAATACATTATTTTTATGTTTTAGGAAGTTCGTAATCAAAATTGGGAATATAATTTGTTGTAATAAAAAGAGTTTGTAGAGAGGTGTATATTTAGATAGGTTTTGTAATGAAAAAGACAATAAACTGTTTTTATTTGTCAAGAGTATATTAGAGTATAATGGAAAAGGTTACCTCCGTTGAGCCAGAGCACGAGAGGAGCAGTGTCGCTGGATTTGTTGGCTTCTACAAAATAATAGTAAAAAAACCGTCCGGCTGCTTCGTTTACGGGCACATAACCACCGTATTGCTTGAAACTAACGGGAGGTTGTCCGGGGAAGCTTTCGATTAGATCTTTCTCCTTCAGCTCTGTTTGGTTTACAGCGCTTAAGCGACGAATCCCATTGACATGGCTCCTACAATGGACTTGTGATGCCAGAGACAAGAATAGGAAAGCGAAAGCCGTCACGGACCAAACTAATTGGCCTTTTCCCATTTGATATGTCTTGGATCTTTTGAGGTGGGATAAGGTTTTAGATGAAAGAGAGAGATGAAAGATTTGAAAAATGAGTGGCTACATCTTATAGGTTTGTGTTTTTGTTTTTGACAACTATTCTAACCATATATTTTTATCAAAAAAAAAACTATTCTAACCATATACGGAAAGTTGTAACAGATTCGTTGTATTTCTGTGAGTAGAGAAACAATCTTCTGTTTTTATTTATTTAATGAGCTACTATATATTTGTTTGCGATTTCGCCTAGTAATGTTATACAAAAATATATATTTACAATGATGTAATTTTGAATAATAATTAGAAACGTTCAAATTTTTATTTTTAATTTCTAGTAGTTTCATAGTCCTAAATTTCAGTATATCTTTTAAGAAGGATCGTGAGATTTAAGATAACTCAACAACATAGACTAAATCAGTAAAATCGAATGTGATGATCAAAAAATAAATGAACTACTCAATTTATAAAATAAATTCATTTTTATTATAATAAAATAGATAAAAAGAAATAAAGTACACATGGAGATACTCTCCTAGCATAATATACTAAAAGCACCCGCTACAATAAATGCAAGAGACTAAATAATTAGGTATCATCACATGATTGTTCTAATTTTTATTTTGCTTTAATTTTAACTAGGATAAGACCCGCGCCTTGCGCGGGATGAAACTATTATTTTTATTATATTTTGAAAAATGAAACAATAGTTCGGTTTCATTCGGATTATAGGTGTTCAATCCGGATATCGGGTTTCGGTTCGGCTCAATTTTTTGGTATTTCGATTATTAAAATATAACTACTATTCTAAATCTATATGTACTCCAGTTTGATTTGGTTTATATACCATCGGTTTTCAGTTTATTCAATTTTATACCAAAAAACATAATTATTTAGTTTGAGGTCATATTATATATTATACAAATATATAATATGATCATATTTAGAGTCATATTGCCACAGTGTCATTTATTAAAAAAAATATTATATATTTAAATAAAAGAATAAAAATAAAAAAGGCTTCTATCTGCTAATAAAATGATCAAATCTAGAATTAATATCAAAACACTAAATTTTGAAAATAAAAATGAAAAACAAAACAGAAGAATGAAAGAAAAGTTTTTATATTCTTCCATATTTAGTGTTCATCAAACCAATATGTCTTTGATTGAACACAACTCTATTTGTTTAAAGATAAAAGTTGTAAGGAATTTCAACTAATTGTTGACCATCAAATTTATAATCTTTACTTCAATTTAGTTATTGTTAAAAAAGCAAAAGATCAAAATAAGAAGTCTCAGTTATAATAAATTGTTAGCTATTTAAAAATTATAATTATAGTTCAACTCATGTAACAAATAGATATTCATGCGTCGTTATAAATATATACATATTTACATGTTTCAGTTTAATCGGTTATAAATCAACCATATCCAAATCCTATGGTTTTTATAAAATCACATCCATTCGGTTTGTAAGGTATATACCAAAAAATAACCATATTATCGATTGTTAATATCTTTTAAAAATATAAAATTAAAAAAGAACTAAGATATTTAAATCATTGATAACAAAAATTTTCAATGTGAAAAATTTAATAAGTTTATAATTTATAACTGTTCTTGAAAATTTATTGAAAATTTTGAAATTAAAATATTTATGTAATCTTATATGGTATATAATTTAATNATTCAAAATATAACTTATACGAAAAAATCTAAAGTTTAATTTTATAGCTAATTTGTTTGTTTAATTTATTTTAATAATATAAAATTAAAGAAAAATGATGGAGGATATATAAACTGTTATCAAATATTTATTATTAGAATCATTAAGTGTCATATATATATATTAGTCATTTATGGTAATTCCGTAGGTTTTATTTATGAAAAGAAAATAAAATAGTAATTATATATAGGGGAACAATCATTAAGGGTCATATATATATATTAGTCATTTATGGTAATTCCATAGGTTTTATTTATGGAAAGAAAATAAAATAGTAATTTTATCTAGGAAAACAATCATAAATACTTCTATCATAAATATCATATCATATCATCATATCATATAATTTGACCAATGAATGTATCTAACGACATATAAAAATCGAATGTGGACATACTTATTTTTCAATTGAATGTAATTGAATACCTAATTGAGTGACACCTAAGCATGGGGTCTTTTTTAATTTTTACAAAATTGAGGTTACAATTTTTTAAATGTTTCTCCTTTAATATATAAGGGATATTTACGATTTGCATATATCAATTTTAACATAAATTCCCAAGTTAACATATTAAGTTTTACATTTTACATATACACTTACCTTTACCATTAAGTATGTACTTGGTCACAAAGTAATTTACATTTTACATATACACTTCCATAAATTAAAAGGAATGAAGTTATTATAGTTAATATATGCAAATCGTTATCAAATTGTATATTTTCCTTTTCTTCCATTACATGCGTGCGATATATATAAATATATAAACTATGTTACATGCGTTATATGCGTCTCTAATTATTTTTCCCTAGCAAATTTCAATTGAACCTAAAGCTGCCACGTCAGTTTAATTGGTATGCTAATTGATTGACAACTAAGCAAGGTTACTTTTTAATTAATACAAACTTGAGGTTNAAATATATAAACTATGTTACATGCGTTATATGCGTCTCTAATTATTTTTCCCTAGCAAATTTCAATTGAACCTAAAGCTGCCACGTCAGTTTAATTGGTATGCTAATTGATTGACAACTAAGCAAGGTTACTTTTTAATTAATACAAACTTGAGGTTACATCTTTTCAAATGTTTCTCAATTAATATATAGGGGATAAGATAGCATAATTATATGAAAATTAAATCAATAAAGTACCATTTGGAGAGATTGCATCACTAATGATGCTCTAAGAGCAACCTTATTGGTTGACCTTGTATTTGGACATTTCTGACTACACAATATTATTAGTTTAACCTGCTTTTATGTAAACTAGATCTTTTCACTGCTACGTGCAGTTTATATATTTTAATTTAATTTTTGTTTACTACGTAAATGGTCTTGTTTGATTGGATTTATTTTTAATAATTTTCATTAGTTTTTTAGTTTCTATTTTCTTTCTTTTAAATAATTTTGGAGTATAACTAACTTAGTTTTCTTTTTTTAAAATTACCATATAAATTTTATTTTCACAAAACTGTAATTTTTTTCTTCTAATTTTCACATAATTTAGTGATAAAGTTATGATATTAAAAAAATTTTACCTACTTTATCTATAATCTTTGAAAATAAATTATTATATATTGTAATTATTTTACTCAATATGGGTAAAACATGTAAATAATTTATAATCTTACATTCAAAACATAAAACGATTATCTTTGCGAAACTAGTGAAAAAATTGAAATTGCCATCTTCGTAGAACCATATAAGTAACTTTACCATATATTTTGTATTCTAAAATGAGTTTACAATTTATGTACAAACATTAACTTTCCTTTTTATTAACATTGTGTCATTACAATATTATTACAAATATTTTTTATTTGATCTTAACTTTTATGATTACCGTTTACAATAATAAGGGAAAATGAACATGCTTAATGTTTAAGTGATATTCTAAATATGTTTGCAGTTTTAATTTTTATCATGATCTAATAACATAAATCTCATATATAATTTCACAACCTTTTCATTTGCTATACAGTATAGTATAATCTTGCAGTAATTTTCATTTCATAAATATATTTGTTATATATTTTTATGAGAAGGGAGCAGTCTCTAGCGTGTTTACAAAAATTATAAGACAAATTGTTATAAAAAACCGTTATTACTATGTAAATTAAGTTAATATCTTGGATACAACATTTGATTTGGAATATGTCTCTACATGTAAGGATATAAAATTATAGTATGGAAATATGTCAATATACATGGGAGAGAATAAGTCATTTATCACTAAAAAAGTGTCACCAGTTTAAAATTTTTAATATTTTAGTTATATTTAATATTTTAAAATTTGATCTAGATCTGTGCTATTATTGAGCTATTGGCGAGCTAGCAAGTGAAGAAAAAAGAAGGATCTGAGATGGTTGTTACGGAACAGAAGATTAGTAGAATATAAATAAGAAGCTTTACCTTTCTTATTGGCTATCGAGTTAGTTGGAATATAAATAAAATGCTTTATCTTAGTGAAACTGCGTGTAATTCTATTTGGATTACAAAAAAAAACACAACTAAATTAGTTGACAGGCACAAATTAAAATATTAATAGAATGACAAAACATTTACTAGTATACTCAGTATTCAATAAATAAATAAAAATATTCAAAATTAACAAACACGTGTGTGCTCAAAATTTTATCTTCCACGACTTGTTCATATTTTTATATTTGAGCATTTGTTCTGAATTAGTTTGTCACTTTTTTCCCCTTTTTTGGCACAAATATTTTTTAAACTAAGTTACATTAGCTCTATAAATTCAGTGTCATAATCTCATATCATTATTTAATTGACGTAAGGAATATTTTTTAAACGCCAATAAACCAATCATCCCCACTGTGAAAAGAAAAAAAAAAGAAAACTAAATAATTATACCAATGATTAAAAAATATATATTATTTTATTTCACCTCTTTTATAGTGTGTCAGTAGCAGTAAACGGTTTTGATTTCTTTGTGTTAATTATATAAATACATTACTACGGGAATAAAATAATTAAAATGTCTATTGTGAGGAAAATATTTAATATTTTCAAAAACAATGATACATAAACTGAAATACAGTAAAATATCTTCACATGTCTGCTAAATATTTTATTTATAAAAATACAAAAATTATTTAAAATTATAAAATATATTACTATACAAAAACCCGGTGATATCTCTTGAAATTTTATCTTCCACGTTTGTTCATGTTTTTATATTTGAGCCTTTGGTCTCAATTTGTTTGTCATTCCTTTTTGGCACAAATATTTGTTAAAATAAGTTACATTAGTTCTATAAATTCAGTTTCATAATCTCATATCATCATTTAATTGACGTAACTAATATTTTTTAAACATATGTAAACCAATCTTCCCCACTGTGAAAAGGAAAAAATCTAACTAAATGATTATACCAATAATTAAAAATATATATTATTTTATTTCACCTCTTTTATAGTGTGTCAGCAGCAGTAAACGGTTTTGATTTCTTTGTGTTAACCAGATAAATACATTACTACGGAATAAAATAATTAAAATGTATATTGAGAGGAAAAATGTTTAATATTTTCAAAAACAATGATACATAAACTGAAATACAGTAAAATATCTCCATATGTCTACTAAATATTTTATTTATAAATTTTTTTAAAAATTATAAAATATATTATTGTACCAAAACTCAGTGATATCTTTTGATTTTGATGAGTTTTAAATTCATATTTTAGTTTATTATGATCATTATAGGTTGCATTTATGTCTTTATATTGCATTTGCATACATAACTGTATTTGACAAGGTCTAAGATGCACAATTGAGAAGTTTGGACAAAAATCAAGGGTCATTCTGCATCATCTCAATCTTTAAGGTCAGAGTGTAAGAAATCAAAAACGAGAGATCAATCTGTAATTTCACTGACGTGACAAAAGGAGCAATCCTATTGGATGATTTTTCAATCTGATGTGGACACTCTCATAAGGTTTGATGTCCCCCTTTTATTTATAGTAGACTTTAATTTTTTTTTTTAAGTAAATTCAATGGGAGAAAGACATGTGAATATTTGAGCTTCTTATAGATGTGTCAAATTTCTCACATGCATCCACCTTCTATCTTCTCTAATGCTTTTTATTTGTTTTTTTTTTTTTTTTTTTAATCTGAGATATTTATCTAGAACCTATTATTTGACTCTGCTTCTAAAAAATAAAATTATTCTTTAACTATTTTCAATTATTTAATTAAATCGAAAATCATTTTAAAGGTATAAATCAACAATTGTGTGTCATGTAGTACTAGATAGTATCTATATGTCTGTAGTGATATTTTCTTAGACTATTTACAATAGGGATGTTGAATAAAAGATTCAACAGTTGAATCACTACAATGGTGGTGTTAAAAAATGAAAATTGATGATGTGGATTAAACTGTGTTAAAAAAATTCAACTAGTTGAATAATAAGAAGAAAATGGGGACCACTGATGACACGTGTCACTTTCTAAATTTTTTTGACATTTTCATATCTTCTTTGTTTTCTTAAACTAATTATTTTATTATAAATTAAATAATTTATTTTTATTTTTGATATGAAAATCTATCATTGTAAATTCTCTATCAATAAAGACTAATTTTATTTAATTTGGATATTTAAAAAATAATCATTAATTTGTAAAATATGGTGTTGAATTCTATTAAACAAAATCATTTTAGTGGATAAATGTTAAATATATGTTGAATGATGAAATGGAAAAAAAAATGATATGGATGGTGTTGAATCTTGAAACAATTGTACATAGTCTTATATTTCTCTTTCCTACTTCTCTCATATTTTCTTGTATTTTCTTTTCTTTTAAAAGCTGATATACCTTATTGGTATTATTACTTTTTCTTGTATTTTCTTTTCTTTTAAAAGCTGAGATACCTTATTGGTATTATTACTGCACAAGCTCTAATATGTAGGTTGAAGATTTAATATCCGTTATCCGATCAAGGGATCCGCTTTGGAAAATAGATATCAGTGGAGAGAAAAGAGGTCTGAATCCGGCAGATCTGGATAGTGAAATTTTAGGTCTGGATATCTAAATCATCATTGGACATGCTCTGATATATAGGGACTAAGGGACATGAAATTATTATCCTCTATCCAATTCAGGATATGCTCCAAAAAACAGATATTCGAAAGGATCTGAATTCAGCGAATCATGATACAAATAGTGAAATTTTAAGTTCAGATATTTGAATCTATTATACATTTTAAAAATAATTAAAATATAATTATATTTTATATATGTGTATTAATACTTCTATAAATTAGATAAATTCAATTTAATTTTTTATTCAATTTCAATGATTTTTTCAGTTTTTATAAAACTAAATTTAAATTTAATAAACAAAAGTAAATTATTTAGTTTTTAAAATTTAATTTACTTTTAAATAATTTTGAAAAAAACAAATTTGGATATATGCGAGTATTCAGATATTAGTCCAAATATCCCGACCCCTAATATCTGAAAAACTCAATGCTAAATCTAGATAGCAGTTTTACGGATACGACGAATTCAGATATCCTAATAAAATATGGGATATCCAATCCATCCCACGGGGTAAAAACTAAATTCGGCTTAGGATTTACAAAGATCAAACAAATCGTAAGTTGATTGATCAGCCTTTGGTTTGGTTTGGTTTTCGTTTCCAAAAACTTGGATGTTCTTGATATGATGATAAACAAAAGAAAAAGCAGGAACACTTGCTCAAAGAGAACGTATATAATATATAGTTTAATATACGGGAAATACCCCGAGACAACAAAAGCTTTTGAGAGTCTTCACTCGACTCCATCTCACAGAACACTTCTCTAAACTAATTCTACTCACAGTGAAAAAGAACAACACAGCCTCGCTAGTATGAGAACTCGTGGCCACGGAGAGAGATATACTTCTTAACCCAAATGGCAATATCTTCTGCACAGGCCTGAGCCTGTGGTGTCCTAAGAAGCATGTCGAGAGTTGCAAACTCGTGAACCGCGTCTTTGTACTCCAGCACAGGAGCATCCACGTTAACCTTCCTTAACTCCTCTGAGTAAGCGATGGCTCTGTCTCTCATCCAGTCATGCTCTGCGACAATGGTTAGCGTCGGTGGCATGAACTTGAGCGGTGGGCCCCGGTTAGGAACGAGCGGGTTCGCTGCCGGGTGGTCCAAACTGAACTCTTCTTCTGGTAAGAAAAGCTTCCAAGCGAGAATGCACATGGGTTTGTCGTAGAAGTAAGAGTTTGCTTGTTTGATCTCGGATTGTGTGGGAACGGTACCGATGAAGAACGGGTACATTAAGACTTGAGCCACGACCTTGACTGGGTCTAGGTTTTGACCAGCTTCGATGGCTTTGCGGGATACGTAGTCTGCTATGTTGGCACCACAGCTCACACCAAGAAGCACGCATCTGAAGTGTCAAATTTTTTGAGAGGTCACAGAACTCAGTAAGATTTTTTTTCACCTGAATCACATGAAAGCAAAAATCTACAGACACTTATAAAACCACAAACATAAATTATTCGCTCTGAATACTTTGCTGGGATCTAGTTTCTTCTATCCTAGAAGTTCTTAACCAAAAGAACATTTTCTTGAAAGAGAAGTCAATGAATAAGAGAAGCAGCAGAAACCCCCAAATGAAGCGTCGTTTAACAAATATCAAGACATGATAACGACCTATAAAGACTACTGAGGTGGGAAAATGAAATTGAACTCAGCACAAGACCAAGAAACAACATTACACTCAGATTCAATTTTCAGCTGAAGAAACCAAACTGGGCAGGCACACACACACATACACAATCATAGACAGCACTTGCTAACTCATTTCTAAGAAGGTTCCTGGGATATAAAGGATCGAATTCACATACTGATCATGATGTAAAGTACTAGGTCAAAGTAATCAACCAAGACAAATTCAAAGCCAATGAATAAGCTGAGAAATAAGCATAAATCCCCCAAGAAAGTCTTTTGACAAATTTCAAGACATGGTAAGGACCTATAAAGACTACTGAAGCTGAACTCAGCACCAAGACCAATTCAAATCCAATGAATAAGAGGAGAAACAGCAGAAACCCCCAAAGAAAGCATCTTTTAACAAATCTCAAGACATGGTAAGGACCTATAAAGACTACCAAAACTGAACTCAGCACCAAGACCAAGAAACAACAATATATTCAATCAGCTACTTACTTCCACAACTAAATCACAAAACAAAGCTCATAAAGACCATTGCAAAAATAAAAAAAACTAACGTTAAAGATTAGATCTTTAGCTAAAAAAACCATTATAGGGAAACAGACTCACACATACCCACTGTTCTAAAAATCTTCCTAGGCACCCACCTAAACAATAATCTTCTATATAACGCCTAACATAACCCCTACCAATTTTTAGAACATTGCACATACCTAAACACTTTCTCATAAGCAATGCAAATGTGAGAAACCAAAACAGGCAAAGCAGACACACATACCCTATCACAGAGCTAAGTACACTATCTACACAACAATCCAACCTCCTATAATCTCATAAACAATTAAAAAGACTCAGTTTTTTTACCTAGAAGTATCAGCATGAGAAGCAATCCAAGGCTCCACCAAAGAAGCCCCAAAACCATCAACCACATGCTTACTCACATCCCCCTTCTTCATCACCCCCTCACCTCTCCTCAAACCACCACCACCACACATACTCTTATTACACTCCGCGAGATTCGCCTGCTTCCCCAACCACTGCAACACCTTAAACCCATCCTCACACGCCGCGGGGTACCTACTCTCCGGCGCCAGCCTATACCCAACCGCCAACACAATCACATCGCAATTCTTCGCCATCCTCCTACAGAAGACATCATTCGCCACCGAGTCGTTGCTCCCACTCACCCACCCCCCGCCGTGAAACTGCAACATCACCGGAAGCTTCCTACATTTCCCCGACGACGACGGCGCGTACCCTCTGTACACGTCGGAGTCTGATGCCGATGAGGCCGTTGCGGTTGTTGTGTGAGCGTAACTGCTTCTTCTAGATTCGGATTTATGAGATGATAGCGAGTTGGAGGAGCCGTGGCTGTTTCTTCTAAGGAGGAGATCCGATGCGACGGCGTTTCGGGAGTTATTGTTGTTGGTGAGGGCGGATTCGGGGAGGAAGATGCGGAGGGAGAGGGAAGTTAAGGGGTCGATGTGGATGTCTTTGGTGGCGACGCCGTCGGTGAATAAGGGATTGGGAGGGGAGACGGATTCTTCGGGTCGGGTCGTGACGCCGAATGGATCTGATGATGAGGATTCGGATTGGATCCGGTTTTGTAGACGGTGTTTTAGGAGGAATTTGAAGAAGACGCTGTAGAGCTTTACGCCTACGCTCGGCATTTTAATGTTTTTTTCCGGTTTAAGTCGGGTTTTTTTTTTTGGGAAGGTGTTATGGATCCATGGAGGTTAGGGTTTGTGGAGAGTGTGTGGGAGGGGGGATTGCTTCAGTGTGGAGCTTTGTGTTGAGAGTAATAGAGACAATGAAGGTTAGTAGAGAAACTAGATTTAGATAAATAAATAAAAAGCAAACAGGCTTAGGTGGGAAGGGAGTGTTATTTAATTTTTTTTGTAACTTTAAAAAGGTGGATTTTTTTAGGTTTTTTTGTTTGTTTCTTTTGTATTGTTGCTATTCATTGATTTCAGGGTGTAAGGAAAAATAAATTAGATGGGCCTATTGATAGGTGATATATCCTCTCTGGACTCGGGCCTTTATTCTAGTGGTTTAGGTTGCTACTTGTAGTTGTGTATGTTTCTCATTACAATAGAACCATTATAAATTAATACTCGATAAATTAATATACACTAAATATCTCTATAAAATAATATAATTTTATGATCTCAAATTGAGTTTTTGGTTTGATTAGTATATCGATACACTAATATCACTCTAAATTAATAAAAAAATAAAATTTTGGTGTAGTCTAAACATTATTAATTTATAGAGGTTTCACTGTAGTTGATATCAGTTTTTTTAGCATTTCTCAACGTAGAAGAAACCTTACAACCTCGTACTCGCAGACCCGGTCCGAGGCACAAGAAATCGACCGCTTAGGATATCACCTTTTACAAAATTTTAGTTGTATATAAGGCATCATAAAAAAAAATTATATGTAGAATGAGAACATAATTTTGTATTTCTGAGTAAGACATTACACGTTTTTCTAAAAGTTAGACCGAATATGCTGTTTTGCAGACACAACTCCTCCCAAGAAGCAGATCAAAGATTTCTCACATGACTTCTACTCCACTTCCGCTGGGTGCATTCCTGGAGCAGTTGTCTACTTTGTCAAGGATCAACCAAAGGTTAGTTAGTTGACATACCTTCACATGATACTATAGAGTATATATACATTTTCTTGTGTCTGGGAAGCTTGCACTGTTTTTCAATATGTATTGGTGTATCGATTTATTTTTGTAATGATATTTACAATGTAACAAAACAAAAAGTAATGGAGTATCGATTTAGCAAGTGACAATTGTATTAGAAACCCAAACAATCACAAAATTGTATGAAAATCACCAAGATTGACACTAAGCATTTTTGCTAAAGTTTGCATTTTAGCAAAAAAGAAGAAAGATTTTGCATGTTTGCATCACACAACTACGGCGCCCACTGATAATTCCATAAGCTAACTGTGAGTGATGGTATTCAGTTCAGTTTGTGGAATGCAATTGGTGGTGGTTATGAATATGGAAGCAAATTATAACAAAGATATTCGTCACCCAAAGTGAATAAGAACAATTATATTCCAAAGAATTGAATTCAGAATAGATTCACTGTTACAAGTGTGTATGTAGTAACTAATGATAATGGCTGATCATCTAATGATAAAAGATGTAATGGCTGAACGTCTAACAATGTAGTAACTAATGATTAAGATTTGATGGCTGAGCATCTAACAAATGGTTTCGTGGTGTAGTTGGTTATCACGTCAGTCTAACACACTGAAGGTCTCCGGTTCGAACCCGGGCGAAGCCAATGATACTCTTTTTAGTATTTTCATAAAAAGAAACAAGAATACATCATGCTTGTCCCAAATAAATTTTCCCTGACTTCAATAATCTGCTTCCATTTTCAAAGTGGATCAATCTTATCAATCCACTCCTGCTTGGACATTCCTCTGAAATAAGAGCCCATGATTTTCAGTCTCAAAGGAAGTCTGCCAGCAACATTGCAAACTCTTCTTGCAAGATCCTCATAACCATCTTTAGGGAACTTTTGACCAAAAGCAGCCATACAAAAGATCTGCAAAGCTTCAAAATCTGATGGCAAAGCCACTCTATAAACATAACCAATCCTATGTGCCTCCAAAACGTTCCTATCTTGTACCGTGACGATAACCCTACTTCCAGGACCAAACCACAGAGTTTCTTTCGTCATTGCATGTAGTTGCACCGATCTGTCGACGTTATCTATAACAACAAGGACTTTCTTGCGTTTCAGCTTCTCTCTTTCAACTCTTAGGTTAAAAACTTCGTTATCGTTGTGGTATGTTAGTAGAGACATAAACTGCACATCAGAAGAACCTGGTCTTGTATTAAGTGCGTTGATATCCTTGATATAGAGACTCACGTTGAATCTTTGAGCGAGTTGTTTGAACAGAAATTTAGTAATTGTGCTCTTACCAATCCCAGGAGGACCCCAAATGCCTATCATCCTTACTTCATCTGAATTTAGGTATAACAATCGTCTCATCTCTTCCATATGAGCTCCCATTCCAACTAAGTCGTAACTGGAATCAATTGATCTCATGAAATGAATCAGCTTTTTTGAAACATCAGTGGCAATATTCTCTACCATGTCTGCTTCATTATCCCTAGTGGTGACCAATTCATGCATCATGAAAAGGAAAATAAATGAAATTCACATATATAGATTATATTCACTTTCACTGGATGTTACATAAAATAAGTTACCAGCCACAAAACTGTATGTTTATAAAAGTAGAAAGATTTTGTCTAAAAATAATTTATCATAAAACATATCATCAGCCAGTGATATGTATCTTGAGAGTTTTTTGCTGCTACCTAAATATTCATTTTTCATCACATTTTATGTCATGCACTTATTGGAAAATTCCTCACTCTCTTGTTAATTCACAACAAAATATTTTCTGTATGGTGTATTGAATACACCCACAAGTCTGAACTGTTTATTAATAGGTAGTTGAATCTAAATCATGAATTGTACCTTTTTTAGAAACTATTTCAGTTTTGACTGAGTCACTGTCCTAAAAAGCGTTTTAAGCGATCGTGTAGACAATGATATAAACCCTAATGAATGTAAGAACATAAATGACTAACCAGTTGCTTGAATGATAACCAGCAATTGTTGCTACTTCTGCCAAAGCTACTCTCCATCTCCTGATCTCCTCGTTAGATCTACCGGCACAAGTTTTTCGGAAGACCTTTCCGAAATCTCCCATTTGCTTGCATATATCAGATGGATCCACCTTGTAGAAAATAGCTATCACTATTTGACCAAACTCTCGCCTACACTTCATAATCTCCACCAACTCATCAAGACACCATTTCGAAGAAGCATAGTTTCTCGAGAACAAGACTACCGCGATTTTAGATCCTCTAATGGCTCTCACAAGTTGAAAAGATATGGATTCTCCTCTCTCCATCTCATTGTCATTGAACTGTCTGATTCCTTTTCTCTCAAAACCCTTTTGAATATGACTTAAAAAGTATTTGCGGACATCTTCCCCGTGAAAGCTAGAAAAGACATCATGTGTCCAGTTCCGAGACAAAGAAAGTGAAGGTGATGAGAGACATGAAGAAGATGTAAAGGAATTGATTTCTCTGTTTTCTTGATCGAATCTGAATTTTATATAAAGCGCCAAGAAACCTATTGCAGAAACAAAAATAATTTGGAAAAAGGAAGCATCCTTTAGTATGATGGAAAGAGGACACATCCTAACCGGAGGAATGATTAACAAAACTGTTATGGAAAAAAAGAAGCATCCTTTAGTATTGACATATAACGTTGACTACAATAATATGATGTCAGGTTTGTTGGCTCTAATCTACTTTTAATGCATTCTGAACAAGTCATGAGTCAAATTTCTGCAAAACGGTCGAGTAAAATAAGATATTTGCTACTGTATGATTCACGCATCCACGCGAATATATTCTTTTATTTTTATTCCGTTCAAAATTATTATAAAATTATTGAGATCTATTTCTTTGTTTACAAAATAATACATGTTTTAAGATTTTCACATTTATTAATAAAACATACTAAAACTTAGTTATTAATACTTAATTTTTTTATAATTTTATATTTTCCATATTTCTAAACAATAAGATTTCAAGAAATGCAATTAATATTTTTGAAATTCACAATTTTCATTATTAGTTGACAAAATATATTAAAAATATAAAATTACATCTTTTTGAAACCAATTTATTTCATAGAATATGCATTGTTTTTAAACGGAGAAAGTATTACATAACTAAACATTGTAGTATAAAAAATGTATAGTGATGATTTTAATTTAAATTATGGAAGTTTTTTCTTAAACCAATTGTGAGTTAATGTGATAGTACACAATCTTTTAACATATGTGTAATGATAATACTCCCTCCGTTTCATATTACGTATTGTTGTAAATAATTTTTTGTTACAAAATAAGTATCGTTTTCGACTTGAAACATGGTTAGGTATATAGATAATTCTGTTTTTATATAAAATATCTAAAATTAATTATTTTTTATAAAGTTAAAGTGACACTTAAGATAAAACAGAGTGAGTATAAGATACAAATGTCATAGTTTAGGATGATATATAAATTTCCACCTTGTGTTTAAACAGAAGATATAATAATATAACAGCCAAACATGGGTAATCTAGGATGCAATTAGTGTTAGAGCTTTGAAGATTTAGGGTCTGACTGGTTCAAACCCAGCGGTTGTGGTTGGAGGAGTTTGCGGATGCGAATGGTTGCGGTTTCTTATGGTTTTAAGAGATTTGTACGATTGGTAGTGCGATTACAAATTGGTGTGTTTGCGAGATATTTATGACTCGTTAACTACCAAATGCAGTAGCGGTTAAAATATTAATTAACAATATTTACGTTTTATATAGTTATAAAAAATATCAAAAATCATAATATTATCATAAATATAAAAATTATACTTATAAAGTTATAATTTTAAATTTTTAAAATTAGTGATTTTTTAATTTTTAATAATATTAATTAAGATATAAAAGATATATTTAAGTATTTTATAATTTCAATTAAAAAAATTATTGAATTTTTTTTTTTTGCATTTATATTGTTTTGCAAAAAAAAATCACCCTCCCGCAACCGCCCGCAATCGCAAACGCTAGCTAGAACCAGCTTTTGAATTTAAGAGGTTTAGAGCGATTTGAAACGGTTCAGAGCGGTTTGAGTAATTGTTATAAAACGTCAATAACCACTACCAACTGCAAAAAATTGTGTTTACGGGTGATAGCGGGGGAAACCAGTCAGATGCTTAGTGGGATTAGAAAATCTTTAAAGTCATTTTTTACCAAACAGAGTTTTTTTAAAAAAAATAATGATTTAAAATGTCTAGAGCCTTATAAATTTTGTTTTCTTCTTTTTACTTTATTTTTTCTAAAGCCAACAAAATACATGACTTTTACCCTTTTTTCTATTCTTTATACCTAATATAATTTATTTAAAATTTTAATAATTTTAGTAAAAGTTAAGATTAAGAAAATAATCATTGATATTTTTCTTGTTCATTTTAGATCCATATTATACTATTTTATAATCATATATATTTAATTCATTAGTACTAATATAAGTTTATATTTTAGATAAAGCATTTCAAATTATTTTTCAAAATTTTTATAATTTTAATTACTAATTTATTTTTGATGGAAAATAAACTAACATTTAAAAATTTCAACAGTCAAATTCTTTATAGCCATAATTCTAAAGTTAAAGTGTAAAACGAAAGTGTTTACCAATAGGAATTAGGATTACGCAAATTTAATGTTACAAAATATTTGAATATAAGGGTTTAATATGGTACTAGTTTACTATCCGCGCATTTGCGCGGGATGAAAATTATATATTATATATATATATATATATCTATATACATATATATATTATTTTATGTCTTTTTATAATTAGTTTATATCTTATTGTTTATTTTATGTTCTTTTATATATTATAAATTAAAAATATATATATTGAATAATTGAAAAATATGTACCTATTATATATAAAATGAATTTAGCGAGCACTTAAACAAAATAATCATATTTGTTTATTTAAAATCACTTTATATAAGTAAATTGAATTAATAAATGATATTAACATATATATATTATACTTTTAATTTATATATCTAATAAATGAAGTTTCACACTTACATGGTTTATGATCATTTGTATATTTTTATAATAAAATTATTAAAATGTTGTTAACTTCATTTTTAATATTAGAGATTTAATATTTGGTGTAATTTATCATCGTTTAAACAAATTAAATTGAAAATGTTTCATTAAAATATTAAGTTCTCAATACTTGTTCAATGCAATTTTGGAATTAAATATTTATGTACTTTTAAATGGTATTTAGTGTAATTTAAACATCACTAAATATATATATACATCTAATTTAAATATCTATTAAATGATACTTTTTACTCATTAATTATATAATTTTTTGTATCGTGCTAAAAAAAAAAAAAAATCAAACTATTAATCAAAAATATTATATGTGAAATTTTTTATTTTTTTTTATTAATTTATAGTCGTTTTTGAAAATTCAAAATATAACATATATAAAAAATCTAATTTTTTTTCGTATATAATTAATGTCATTGTTTAGTTTATTTTCATAATATAAATTTAACAAAAAGAGTAGAGGCTATACAATTTTTTTATCAAATCTTTCATATTCAAATCATTAATTGTCATATATATATATATTATAACCATATTAGGTAATTTCGTAAATTTTATTTAAAGAAATAATGATTAACATTAATAATAGTTTTATGCTTAGTTTAATAAAAAAAAATATATTATATGTTTATATAGACCAACATTTTTCTTTAGTAAATTTGAGAAACATTCTTATGATGACACATGGTTAGCAAAACATGTTGTAATGCTTTTTAATTAATATATAAGGGATTAGGGTGTTTTTCCGCCAAAATCTCCACCAATTCATCGAGACACCATTTTGAAGAAGCATAGTTTCTCGAGAACAAGACTACCGCGATTTTAGATCCTCTGATCGCCCTTACAAGTTGAAAAGATATGGATTCTCCTCTCTCCATCTCATTGTCATTGAATTGTCTGCTTCCTTTTCTCTCAAAACCCTTTTGAATGTGACTTAAAAAGTCTTTGGAAACCTCTTCACCGTGGAAGCTTGGAAAGACATCATGAGTCCAGTTACGAGACAAAGAAAAGAAGATGAAGAGAGAGACATAATGAAGAAGAAGAAATATAATGGTCTTTCTCTGTTTTCTTGGTTGGATATACAGAGTGCCAAGAAGCCTATTGCAGCAACTAAAATGGTACGGAATAAGGAAGAATCCATTAGTATGATGTAAAGAGATTATGTCATTCCTCATTGAACGGAGGAATGATTAACAAGCGTGGCTACCAATGTATTGACATAGAACGTTGACTCCATTGGTTATGAAACTTTCACCAGGGATATTATTCTGTGTTGATTTTTTTGAGACGACAAGTCAGGGTTTGGTGGCTCTAACTCAATTTTTATACATTATCAACAAGTTATGGGTCAAATTTCTACACTAGTCATGGACAAAATAAGATATTTGTAAAAGCAAAGTACATAATTTTCACAAGAAAGATAATGAGCTATATATGATGCATTTAGGTAAGCAGATTGTACAAAACAACCGCTGCTTTCAGAATTCAGATGGTGCGTATTTGAAACTACTATGCATTGTGGATGATTGATTATCTGCCTAGTTTTTTTTTTTTGGGTGTAATAATCTGCCTAGTTGATTACGTTTAATTGGATTTATCAAAACTAAAATGCCAAAGTAGTTGCGGATCTACTACAAACGAGAGTTGGTCATTGTACTACTTACTAGCCACTAGGCGAGACATTTAAACGGCTAAAAAAATTCATTAGTGTAGTTGGTTTGAAATTTGCATCCTCTTTCCAGAAGGAAGGCGTTTCGGACTTTAAGCCCTAGTTTTCAGCATGAATTTTGGATGCCATGGACAGTTGGACACTAGTAATTTAGATTATTTATTTATGTTCGAGTTAATTATCTTCTCTATTTATATATAAACTTTAAATAAAATTGAGTTTAGTTGTTGTCATGATAAAACAAAATAGTATGATTATGTCTTATCTTGAGCCACCCGCAACTTTAATTAAGTTGACATCTTCTTAACCAGGTACACTTACAATTTTTAAAGTGTTAGCAGTCATTAAAATCATTATACATTCACATTTTGTTGACAAAGTCAAATCCACATTTTCTGTGCTTAGACTCCGTGGTTATCACACAACCATTATCAATAACATTAAAAAATATCATAAAATTTTCTGGTAAGTTAAATTAAACCCTGAAATATGTAATGTGTGTACATCTGTCATGATTCATGAACATTATATCTACCTAATACCATGTTTAAACCCAATGATATGCAGTGTATTAGTGTTGATTATGTGGGGTTAAACTCCAAATCAACGGATATGATTTGATTTAGAGATATTACTTTACGCTAAAAATAGACATCAAATCTTCTTTTTTTTTTCTTACTAGATAACAAATCTGAGAGATAAGGAAAAATTAAAATCATATTTTTACTGAATCTTTTTCGCAATTTTAGAATTTCGTTTTTCTTGAAAAAACAATACCCACAAATTCCAAATCCAAAGAATACTAACGGTAACAGCAACGACAATAACGACGGTCCACGACACCCAAACCCACCTAGGTATGACGTCATCAGCTCCCCCACTTACATAAAACCACGTCATCCTAACGATAAGCAACGGCGCCAAAACGCACCTACAAACGCTATACGACGCGTAAAACGGCACCGTAACGAAACGGTGAAGACTCACCGCGATCGGAGCGTCTGTACCACGCGCCTCCGCGAGCGTCCACGAGTTCTGGCACGCGCTCGTGGCCTCCGCGACGATGAGGAGCGCGAGTAGAGCGCACGCGCCGTGGGAGACCAGGTACCGGCACGTGAGGAAGACGAAGAGCACGGCGGCGTGGTGCGCGGCGAAGAGCCCGTCTCCGCCGGCGGGGGAGGGGAAGACGGCGAGGTGGAGGAGGTCGGCGAGGAAGTAGGCGGAGCTGAAGTCGAGGACGGAGTTCTGGGACGGGGTGTTGGCGGAGGAGAAGCCGCGGTTGGGGTCGGAGAGGAGGGCGTTGGCGGCGAGGTATACGGCGGAGACGCCGTGGAGGAGGGAGATTAGGCAGCTGGAGGCTAAGGGGCGAGAGGGTGGGGTCCACGTGCGGAAGAGGAATAAGTAGCCGAGGAGGTAGGTTAAGAGAAAGAGTGAGAAGAAGAATGGGAGATCCTTGAAACTCGTGATTGGTTCCATGACTTGACTGATGAAGGATGATCTTCTTGAGGCTTTTTGAAAGTCTATATATATGGATGAGACATGTAAGAATGGTTGAGGTTTGTTTAGAGAAACGAGGTTATGGGTTAGGGGGAAGGAAACACCTAAAGCGACGACGTATTAGGATGATTATTTAAATCCTGATCTTGTTATGACTTATGAATGGTGTCATTCACGTTTCCTTATTCAGTTGGGATATTGATTTTTTAAGTTTGTTTTAAATTGGACAGTAATTTCTTTCTAAATCTATATTATTAAAAGTGAAGGCACCCTTGACTAATAGAACTTATGTACACATTTCATTAATGACATTTTGGTAATTTATTTTCGGCCTTACATCTATATATATATATATATATCAATTTGTTACAAATAATATCACATATTATATATACTCGAATTATTCTATTTCTTTCCATTAATTACTCTAACCATTAATTATTCTCTATTTTCCCATTAATTATTCTCTCTCTTCCCATTAATTACTCTAACCATATTTCATATTATATTTCATACATTTATTGATTTCCAACATTATATTACAAGATTTGGTATATGCATCATGTATGGAATTTATAATCACATTCCATACAATATTTCATACATTTATATTGTATTATACACCTTATATTACACGATTTCAATCGATATATTTCCAACATTATACTTTTTTGGTTAACATTTTTTGGTATATGCATTATACATGGACTTTATAAACATTCATTTCATTTTTATTGTGTTATAGACCTTCATATCATGATTTATCTTCATATATGAAATATGTTTTCATGTCTCACTAAATTTATCCGTATTTATAAACCATACTATATTTCATACATTTATATTGTGTTATAGATCTTATATTACACGATTTCAATCTATAGATTTCCAACATTATACTTTTTTGGTTGACATTTTTTGGTATATGCATCATACATGGACTTTATAATTTTTAATTTCATTTATATTGTGTTATAGACCTTCATTTCATGTTTTTCTTCATATAGAGATAATGTTTTTAGTTATGTTTTGACAATCGCATAATGATGATTCTCGAGAGGTAATCCTGGCTGAATCAAAATCGTGTTTTGTTTTCACCCAATAATTTTCATTTTAAATAATATTTGCTTTTTCTTGACGATTTATTGACTGATTTATTTATATGAAAAATACATAGTGTTGTATAAAACAGATCAATATACTATGATATAATAAACAAAAATCGATTTATACTATATTTGCTGCATACTGAAACAGAAAATGAGATACTTAGAGTAACAAATCTCATTTGTTACTATTATTCCTTAAATTATTACTCCAGAATCAATATTACTCCAGAATCTTGCAATATTTAAATTATTCCTTATATACTTGGAGTTATCTTTGACTCTCATAAAAATATATATCATGAATTATTTTTGACTTACCTTTGACTCTCATAAATTAATTTAATATTTTATTTTATGGTCAACAAAAAAATTGAAGCCCTTCTTAAGCGCGGGTCAAAATTGAATATTATTTTTATTGTTCAAAAATCATAGATGTAATTATTTTAACTAACATAAATAAACTATATAAGAAGTGCGGGTCAAAATTGAATATTATTTTTATTGTTCAAAAATCATAGATGTAATTATTTTAACTAACATAAATAAACTATATAAGAAGCGCGGGTCAAAATTGAATATTATTTTTATTCTTCAAAAATCATAAATGTAATTATTTTAACTAACATAAATAAACTATATAATTCGATTAACATATTTATTGGATTTAACTACAAATTTGTAATACAATTTTGGGCATTTTCAATAGTATTGATTTTTCAAATTTACTATAGGCCATGAACCCATCCAAATTTGGTTTCAATCTAATATGTGTTTTAATTATTCATACTCCCACAGCACTTAATTTTATGATTCTCGGTACAATCACAAATTGACTCGGTTATGCAAAACTCACTGAAAAGATCCTACTAAAACGTTACATATACATCAAATTTCATATATAAATCTATCATATAATAAAAATAGAATCATTTGATGCATTTTGTTACAACTAAAATAAAACCCGCGCTTCTCAAGCGCGGGTCAAAATCTAGTTTATTATTAAATTACAAGTGATTTTGTTTTAAACGTCTTATTCCTATTGATCAAAAAGGTTAATTCTTTTGTTTGAAAGCTCGGATCTTGATTTTGATTAGGTTTCAATCTTCGTATTGATCTAAGCAAAGTATCCACGATGGTCAAAATTAGAGACTTAGAAGAAGCGTTCGAGATGCGGTGCTAAAACTAGATAAGTTGGAGCTTCCGTATGGTTAGCGTTCTGACTAAGTTCTGCTTCGTTTCTTAGTGATGCTCTTCGCCGGATGTTACTTCTAGCGATCGAAGAAGAAGACCTTGTTTTGATCAAAGGCAGTTTGAAGGGAAGAGGAGCAACAAGCAGTTTCAAGTGATTCGACGGCGGAGATCAACGGTCCGGTTAATTCTCCGGCTACGCTTTCTCACTTTGTTGGGCTGAATGTAATACAATGAAACCTCTATAAATTAATAATGTTGGGACTACACCAAAACTATAATTTTTTTATTAATTTAGAGAGATTATTAATTTACCGATATACCAATTGAACCAAAAATTCAATTTGGGACTATTCTATTATTTTATAGAGATTTTTAGTGTTTATTAATTTATAGATTATTAATTTATAGATTATTAATTTAAAGAGGTTTGGGTCTGCTTATAATCTTAGCATCCGGGCTTTAATACAAAAGAGTTGGAAAAAAATTAGAAGGGTTCAAAAATATGACATAAGTTATTAAAATAATAAAATAATAGTATATTTTTAAAAAAAATTAGAAAAAAATCCAAAATAGCATCAAACCAGTTTTTGTTGCCAAACTAACATTTAAGGTCCAAAATCACAAAACATTTCATTAAAGTGATCATTTACCTTTATGCCCATTTATTTCTCTAATTAATTAACTTAAAAAAAAATCAAAATCCCAACCCGCGGGGGGGGGGGGGGGGGATAAGGACCGAGATGATGACGTCAGAAATGATGAGAGTCCGACGAGCGTGATTGGGAACGAGGATGTGAACCGCTCTTCTCTGCCGAAGAGCATCTCCGTGAGATCCAGCGGTTACTCGGTGGTGTCAGTCGCTCAATCTCGTGGTGCCATACCTAAGCATGGGCCTTGTGCTCAACAACTCATTACCACGGTAACTATCTCTTCTTTGTTTTCTTGATTATTGTGAGTTAAGAGCTTAATCATAGAAATCAATTTGGGATCACTAATACTAGAGACTATTTATATGATTTACAATCTGCAGAACTGTTGGTGTTAGTAAAGATGTTCTTTTAAGAATCCACTTTCTTAAACAACTTTAGGTTTAGATTCCGGAGCAGGAGAAAGAAATAAAACAAGAACTGTATTCATTCTGTATGGACTACAGATTTAAAGAGTACCAATGATGAATGAAACAGTGTACCTGAGAAGAGTCTTTCATTAAAGTCTGTGTTTTGGGAAATAGGTATTGAGATACTACAGACTTTTCATAACTCTTGGATCTCAGTTTGCGTATATGATACCATACCTGAGTCATCTACTACTCTGCTTTGTTTGAACTATAGGAGTAAAGAAGAATAGTAACTAATGAAATGATGAGTAAAAGGGCCATTGATTGAGGAGGCGGCTTTAGTTAGAGTCGACTTAGCAACGAATTTGGCTATAATGTCAATCACTGAGACACTAGAACTGTCGAATCTGAGCTGCATATATATGATATTACACTATCCTCTGTTCATTATTCCTTTTAAGAATCCACTCGCTTAAACAACTTTAGGTTTAGATTCCTGAGCAGGAGAAAGAAACAAAACAAGAACTGTAATCATTCTGTATGAACTACAGATTTAAAGAGTACCAATGATGAATGAAATAGTGTACCTGAGAAGAGTCTTTCATTAGAGTCTGTGTTTTGGGAAATATGTATTGAGATACTAGAGACTTTTCATAACTCTTGGATCTCAGTTTGCGTATATGATACCATACCAGAGTCATCTACTAGTCTGCTTTGTTTGAACTATAGGAGTAAAGAAGAATAGTAACTAATGATGAGTAAAAGGGCCATTGATTGAGGAGGCGGCTTTAGTTAGAGTCGATATAGCAACAAATTTGGCTATAATGTCAATCACTGACACACTTTAGAAATGTCGAATCTGAGCTGCATATATATGATATTACACTATCCTTTGTTCACTATTCCTTTTAAGAATCCACTCGCTTAAACAACTTTAGGTTTAGATTCCTGAGCAGGAGAAAGAAACAAAACAAGAACTGTAATCATTCTGTATGAACTACAGATTTAAAGAGTACCAATGATGAATGAAACAGTGTACCTGAGAAGAGTCTTTCATTAGAGTCTGTGTTTTGGGAAATATGTATGGAGATAATAGAGACTTTTCATAACACTTGGATCTCAGTTTGCGTATATGATACCATACCAGAGTCATCTACTACTCTGCTTTGTTTGAACTATAGGAGTAAAGAAGAATAGTAACTAATGAAATGATGAGTAAAAGGGCCATTGATTGAGGAGGCGGCTTTAGTTAGAGTCGACATAGCAACAAATTTGGCTATAATGTCAATCACTGAGACACTTTAGAACTGTCGAATCTGAGCTGCATATATATGATATTACACTATCCTCTGTTCACTATTCCTTTTAGCCTAATTTTGACAAAGTATTTAATCTATTTAGAAAAATAAAATAACACAATTTATTGTAAGTATACTAAAAACTTAAATTATTAACAAAAGTCAGTTATGTTTGTCTATTGAAACTAAATATGGTCAACATATTTTTTAAAAATCCAAAAATATTCCTATATATTCCTTCCAGATTTAATTTAAAAATAAAAAATTCAAAGTTTCTAAGAATAAATAATTAACTGATGATTTTTACGGGTATAAATCAAACTTACAAAACAT